GCTGACAAATACTTAAAATGTATGTATTACTTGCGACTGAAGAAGAATTTAACTCTGCACTCAGCTGTTTGTAAATCAGAGTGACGTTCAACACAAACCTGTGATTTTACAGCATATTTCTGTAACAAAATAATTTAGTTCTGTAAATAACAAAAGAAGAAAACAGATTGAGGGAAATACAAAGCAGCAGGTAAAGAGAAGCGGAACTACAAACTTGAACTATTGATATTTTAAAGGACAGAATGGCGTAAAGCCATAATAACTGAGTATACATTACATAGATTATTGTATTTCTGAAAATAATTTTAGGTTTTAAAATGTAATAATTCTTGCTTTTTTGTTTTGAAAATAAAACATTTCAATGTTAGCAGTAAGTAGAGAGTTACAAGGTAAAAATAAATAGTTATATAATCTGATTATGATTTCGGAGGTAAATTTGATCTTATAAGCCTAGGTTAGGGTTACCAAGAGAAGCAAGCACAGCTGTTGGTTTTTTTTCCTGCTCTGTGCAGCAACTCTTCAATTCAAAATGTACAGTGTCTCATGCAGATGCAGTAAGTGTGAAGAGATAACATATCTGCAAGGTTATGATAAATCTTTTGACCAGTAATTTTGATATATTACAATGTTAAGTTTTTTGCACAATTATCTGCTTTCTCCAGTAGCTATTCACACTTGGAGCCAAACAAGCTCAGTGGAGAGGTTAAGAGTTTCAGTAATTGGAAAACGATCATATAGTTGTGTGAAGTCATTATCGGTACTCTATTAGAAGTTAATGTGATAGGGCACATCCTAAGCATATAAACTCATGGTTGAACATATCCTCCTTACGTACTAAACAAATAAAGAAACAACATGAAACATTTCATCTCATTCCTTGAAAGAAAGAAAGAAAACGTAATGAGGAACTACTGTTATAGAACTATGAACATATGTGACATAGTGATAAGTATGAACAGTATTGCTTTCTATCGGCTTTCCTCTGCAGTAGTTGTCACTATTTTCTTCTTGTGTGGTTATGATTTGTTTGTCTTTATAAGAATAGAGTTAAAACATTTTTTCTATTATTTCAAGAGCATTATGTCATTGCTGCACTTGAAGGTATTGTGGAGGATTTTCGCAAATTTTTTAAAGACCCACCCTCTCCACTTAAAAAAAAAAATTCATATGCATAACCCTATACCCACTCCCAAGAGGGAATGCCTATTAAATGTGTACAAGAGTGTGCAAGAGATAATTTCTCTCTCTGTTTAAAAGTTGCTGTTTGCATCGCTCATACAAGCTTACTTTCCAAAAGATTTGCAGTTTTTCCACTATGTCAGACTCACCATTAATGAAAATGGGGTCAAGCACGTAGGACGCCTTAAGTGAACATATCACCAGAATGATTGACAATTAGTAGGACCACTTAGTTTGATCCAACCGGAAAAAGAACATCCTTCAGCATACCTTTAAATATATTGTGGAACTGGAGCTTTTTAACTTTGGCTACTCTTGAAAAAACTCCAACAAAAAATGTTTTTGCAAACCACTTCAGAAATGCACTGAAACATTATTATTCAATTCTTCTTAATTTGTCATGCGATTAGTAGCAGTTTTGTGCCAATTCAGGTGTAATGCTTCCCCTGACAGGTCAGTTTTAGAAACTGAGCGGTAATGGATTAATAATATTCAATTGCCACTTTAGAAATGCAGCTGCTAAACAGCACTAGCCTGGCCAACCAGACCAGCTTAAATCCCATGTAAGTCAGTCTGACAAGGCTTGATTCTTTCTGGTCTAAAACAGGCCGGACCAATCACAGTACTGGATACAGGCCCACAATGCAACAGCACTTTTCTGTAACCATAGCAGTTAAGATTGCCGCTGGAAGCAGCTTGAAGCAATGATTTGTGGATTTCTTTTTTCATATCCTGATAGAGATCTTTGTATCTTTAAAAATGTAACAACTGGCTGCTGTAAAGCTTTCCTTTTAGAAAGAAGAGATTTTTTTGTGTCACATCCATAATTGTCTTACTGGTTTTAAACTGTTTCTGCTGACTGTGTTAGTCCCGCCTCTAAAATTGGATTCTACCTGCTCCTTTTTAGACTAATACGCTGTGTACGCAGCCTACATTAGTCCCACTGGCCAGGCTAAAACACCACATACACACACAAAAGTCTCTAATTTTTATTTTGTATAGAATAAACTCTCAACTGCAATCTCTTTAAATGACCTCAAATATAATTAATATACATGTCCATCTAACGCTGCGTATAGCTAACATCAGACCTGTAGCCGCCCTCTTTGTGCCAACGCTTTCACAGCCTTTCTTTGACTGCATTTATAATGCATGGAGGCATTATGCAATGACCATGAATCCACAACAGCTACAATAGTGTGGCAGCTGTCAAATCACCAGGATGCCAATTACCTCTTCTGGCCATGTGCCATCACTAACAACTTCTGATACACATATGTGGTAAAAAAAAAAAGAACTGCAGAAAAAGTTAAAGAGATTTAAATAAAAAGAAAAACGATACTGTATTGGTGAGCAAAATGAGCAGATTTTTTGTTTATAGAATTTTAATGAGCAATGATAAGACATATGGAAAGAGATGCAGAATGAATAGAAGTGGAAGATCCTGAAAAGAGGGTCAATTTTGGTTTATTAAAGACTACCAATGTCGTTACCATCTGTCAAATTTATTTGTCATGCTTTTATAAATGGATAAACAGTGTTTACCAATTAATGGTGGTGCCTAGCTTTATGGATACTTCAGTCTATCCTCAATGAGATATTTCACATCATTCACAATTATGAATCACTTCAATCATTTTCCACATACACATTTTCTCTGCTAATCATTTAGGCTGAAGCGTTCAGTCTTCACTGGAGGAATGATAAAAAGTCAGAATAACTGGCATATAATCATAATCATAACAGTAAATAAAGCCCACAGTTCAGTGTAAAATAATAAGGCAAAATAAAAATAAAAACTATAATATAATAAACTATAATACAAATTTAAAAAACTGTTAAAATACTGATTGCTAAAAATGTATCGTGGTTGTTAGTCGAACAGAAAAAAGCCTGTGCAAATAAGCCCACATTTTTTTGTTGAAATTTTTCTTTTTGATCTATTGTAATATTCAAATATTTTCATAGATCAGCATCTGTATCATTAATCTCTGTATCTATATAATGTGTTAGCTGTGAAATACTATTTGTCTACTTTGTCAATACTGCTGTAATTTGTCTTTATCTCCCCCATGGATGTCTCCAGCATGTTTGATACTTTAAATAGGGATCTTATTAAAGACCTTAACAAGGCAAACTGACGGTGCATCCTGAAAAGCATTATTTATTTACCGATATATATATATATATATATATATATATATATATATATATATATATATATATATATATATATATATATATATATATATATATATATATATATATATATATATATATATATATATATATATATATATATATATATATATATATATATATATATATATACCGTAAATTCTCTAATATAGGCCCGGGCCTTTATTTCACTCAAGTGCATCGCGGTCCAGGCCTTTATTGGATAGAGGCCAGAATTAGAGACAGGCCTCTATTGCTATTTGAGCAAAACAGACTACCAGTGGAATGAATAAAAATGAGATTTTGTGTCTATTTGAACCTATAAAACACTAGGTTCATTTATTGAAAAAGTACAGTTACCATGTCTCGCTTGGTTTGAAGTAAAAAAAAAAAAAAAAAATCCTCCAATTCTGTTTAATTCTCCTCCTCAGTTTTTCTCCTCCTCTGCATCTCTCCCTTTAATCTCCTCATCACTTGCGCTCCTCCTGTTCTGCTGCGTGCCTGTTCTCTTCCTCGCGCAGACGGGCAGCAGTCAGGGCCTGTCGTCTTGCAGCGCAGGGCTGTGGTACTTGTATGTTACTTACTACCACAAGTATAATGTTGAGGTATGCCCAGAAAAAACGTTTATAGCCCCGGCCTGTATTAGAGACCGGCCATTATTTACCTCCTCTGACAGCGAGACCGGCCATTATTAGAGACCCGGCCGCTATTGGAATACAGGCCAATATTAGAGAATTTACGGTATATATATATATATATATATATATATATATATATATATATATATATATATATATATATATAAAAAAAACTTGTACCAGATGTAGAATCCAGATGTACCAGATGTAGAATCCTGATTTTGTATTTTGGTAATTTGGTTTTATTCTTATTTTTTGTTACATTTTTTTTTTTTTTTTTTTTTTTTTACATCTGTATTATAAGTAAATGCCCAGAGTGTTTTTGGACAAGGTATATATATATCCATGATATCTAACTGTTTTATCCTCAATGTTTAAGTGGTTGATGTTGATCAACATATTAATTTAATTTGGGGGAGGAACAGTTGTGTACCACAGAACAGGGAAGGATAAGAGCCATGCAGGCTGGGAGTCTGGGTGGACTTGCTTAGACGGGTTTAGAGCCCTTTGAAATTTCATTACAATTCTAACCAGTTACTGTTGTTGGACGATTATAAAATGATTGTGACTATTAGTGGTCGAGACCTACACAAAATTTTGACTCTGAGTTTGATTGAATATTTGAATGAAAGTACTTGTATAAAAAAATATATCACATATTGATGTGAATCAATATTTTTGATAAATTGTCTTTATTGTTTTTATTAGCTTTATGTTGAAGTTTTGTTTTTCTTCAAATTTAGGGAGAGTGACATTTATTTCTTTGTGAGTAGAAATGGTTACATACCATTTAAGAAATCTGAAGTATTTACTCAAACAGATATTGTTGACATAAGGGCCATAATAGCCTATTTTTAATTTTGATTGGTCATCATAGCAACAAAAATTAGATAGTTTAGACCTCATATGTTAATAAAACTGTAGACCAAATAATTTCTGTTTGAGTATTAATAGCTTATTCATGTGTGGCCTACAGTTAAACCTTTTTTTGCTCTTTCCTCTCAGGTGCAGGAGTGGCTATGTCTGAACTGTCAGATGCAGAGAGCTCTGGGGATGGATATGACCACACCACGCTCCAAAAGTCAACAACAGATCCATTCTCCTTCTCATCCAACCCAGCCTGAGCCCAAACCTGATGCTACTAATCATCCTCCACCTCAGTCACAACCCATCCCTCAGAAACAACCTATTGCTCCAGCCCATCCAGCGCCTGACCCAACCAAACAGCCTGCTCCAGGTGGCCCCAGTCATCAACAGCCCAAATTGCCACCAGGAGCAGTTCCTCTCCCTGGGATGGCCAAGGCTCCATCCCAGCCGGATCTCTCTCGAGGCTCACCTGCCCACCAGCCCCAACACCCCCGCAAAGATCAGACCCGTAGTGCGGGAAGCTCCCCATCACGGCAGCCCCCACCCCCAGAGCAGACATTTGGAAAGCTCTTTGGCTTTGGTGCCTCCCTTCTAAACCAGGCCAGCACTCTTATATCTGAAACTACTCAACCCCAGCAACAACAGGCCCCAAAACCAGCTCCCAAACCTGGGGGGCCTCCTGGTCCAGGACCAGGAGCTGATAAATCTTCAGCACAGACCACGCAACAAGGGCCACAGGCCCCGCCACAGCAACAGCGACATGCTCCCCCCGAGGCCTCTAAGCCCAAAGCCTCCTGTCCTCTCTGTAAGACCAACCTTAACATTGGCAACACAACAGAGGAACCAAACTACAACACCTGCACTCAGTGTCACTCCCAGGTGTGCAATATGTGTGGATTCAATCCCACTCCACACTTACTTGAGGTAAGGCTTTGAGTTTTTATTATTATTTTTTTCAACTAGTTCAAGCTCGAATTTTGGCTTTTTTTTATTTTTATTGGAACCAGTAGTGAGAGCTGTTACCTGACTGCTCTAATCTTCAGCTAAAGCTTTTCTGTTTGAATTTGCCTGCTCTACCTTTTCATATTTTCCCAAGGTACACTGTGGCTTTGCCATGGTTTTGTTTCCCCTAAAATTCAAATACTTAAATTGACCTCAGTTGTCCATCAGTTGTTTTTTTATATCACCGAAGGATACAAAACAACCAATTTGTGCAAGAGTCCTACACTTCAAATCCTGTCGAATGGGTCAGGAAATACATTTTTTTTAAAGATCATTGAGATTCTCATCTTTCCGTAACTCCACAACTTTGCATACACAACTTTATCTCAAGTGGTTAACATTTTATATTTAGATTATAATTGAGTTTGATATTTCAATTAAAAAAAGCTCATTCTTTGCTCTATTCGTCCCAAGTGGATATATTTCAAGTTGTTTTAAGATGATAAAATGCATTGTTAAGTTTATTTTTATGATGGAAATGTTGTTCAAGCACTCGATACTGGGTCAGGGCTCTTTTCCACAGATTACTACATCAATGTGGTATGACATGGATACGATTAGCCTGTAGCACAACTCAGTTATTAAGGTCAGCAGTGGGCCATAACATAATCCCGCAAAAATAGATAAAATACTACTATTTAATCAGAAATTATACATAATAATAGTGATATGACTTTTTTGCAGATTTTAATATTATTTAAGCTATGAGCACAATGCTAAATATGTTGATTAGTCACTAAAGGTTTTTATAAACCATATTCCTCCTTCTTAGTCAGCACCTGCTTCGTTGTGCTCTGTCAGTCTTTAATCTAGGTATCAGAGCAAAGTCCAGGCTGTGATTCACCTCAGCAGTTAGTTTAGCCTGAGGCAGCATAAAATCATATGAGTAGTCTACAGGAAACACAGCCTTATTAAGGTCAATTGAATGGATTATCTCTGTATTTGTTAGACGTCCAGGGGTCATCTGAGGCCATATTTCTTTTGTAAGGGCTGTCTTGTTCTGCATCATGGAGAGAGACTGGTTGGTAAGAATAGTGACTTGCAATAACTTCTAGAGCAAGGCAATAACAGAGTTTAATTATGCAAATCAAGTCCAACTGAATGATAGCAGTAATAACAGGGTTGCTGCAGAGCACTGGCTTTTTATGGGAATGTCTTGTCTTTCCAGGCATCTGGTTGTCACAGTCCCTGGCAGAGGCCATTCATAGATCACTATGGAAACAGAAAGATAATTTTTCTGTCAGCCATCCCTTTTCATGCTTGGCCGGTGTGATGCAGAATCTCTCCAAAAACTATCAGACCGCTGTTGTTCTGTATTCAAGACAGATGCATTTGTTAAGTGTTTTTTGTTTCTCCTCCTCAAGGAATGGTTGGCAATATAAAGCACATTTTCTTTTGTTCTATTTTCCCCCTTTTTGGCTTCAGGTGGATTCCTTAAAAGTGTGCAATAAATTCTTAACATTTACAGGCCTTTTATTTGTATGTTTACTGATGCTGTAATATTTCAACATTAGTCATTTTCCTCATCCTCAATCATTTGCACACCAAAGTTAGCTGTTTTCGTTTCCTTCACTTTGTATTTTTTGGCAGTATTTGGTGACTTAACTCTAGTAGACAATCTGAATTCTCTGCTGTTTCTGATGCTTTTGCTTTTAAGGCATGTTTGTAGCATTGAGGCACAGGATAGCTTCAAAGACTAATAGCATAACCTTGAGCAAAAATACCACAGCTTAGAAGTAATACAGCGTGGCATTGAATAACAACATAAAAATAATTACCAAACTGCAAATACTGCTACCTTTTCTGCTAAATTCTAGAGACTACAAATATTTTGTAGCTCTGCTGAATTAAACTGTTTATTTGCAATATTCATTTTAGCAATATGAATATGACAGAAGCACTGCTGCAATTCAGTATTTGGTAGGCTAATAAACACTCTTTGGCCAGTATGTAAGATACATCTGTTTTATTTATTGTTAATACAAATCCAAAAGCTAATCACAAGGCAGAAAGTCAGGCATGCCATCAAAATGGGGAAGACATTGCATTTAAATTAATCAGAACATAGCAAGTATGTTTTGGCTGCTTTGAATATCTCAGAAACTGCTGACCTCCCTGGACTTCGGTGCACCATCATCTGTCGGCTTTACAAAGAATAGTGTGCAGTAAAATACCTAATGCGCTGCAGTTATGTGTATCAAAAAGCTCTGTTCATGTTCTAAATCAGAGGAGAGTGGGTAATTTAGTTTTAGAAGACAAAAGGCAATGGTAGCTCAAATAAACACCTGTTACAATTAGGGCTGGGTACCGAACTTCGGTACTTTTATGGTACCGACCGAAATGCTTCGGTTCTACAGAGTATCGAAACATGCCTCGTCTTTCGGTACCAAGTTTCGGTGATTGGCTGTAACACTTAAGGTGATTGCGTCATCCAGGAAAAATACACAGGTGGTCCCGCCTACAGCCAGGGTTCATGTGAACTGGTTGTGAGCGTCGCGGAACCCCTTTAAAATGCCCCCCAGGTCAAACGTGCGGCTTCACTTTATTAAGACTGATGCTAATAGTGCGCAATGCAATACATCGTGCACGGAAATAATTTAAGAGCAGAAAGTCGCTCGGTGTTTGACTGCAAGAAGAGCGGACCGCAGCCAGCGCGACCATCCTCCTCTCAGCAGCCCGTGGGCAGAGCAAAGCCAGAGCGGAGTGAATAATGCGAGACACTCATGGAGAATGCTGCTTTCAAACCGGACGCAGCAGGGCCAGCAAAATCACGTCTGCTGCTTCTTTTTTGCTGCTTGTACCAGCGTCTGACGCACGGCTGAAGAAGCTTTGCTGCTCTGGCTGCGCGGTCGAAAAGTGGGTCTGACGCGCGTTGGGCGGAGCTACTCTATCCTTTATTTGCCTTGCAGCTATATTTGCTGTGATCAGTGGAAATAAAGTAGTTTTATTATGTTTTTAAGTGGGAAAATCCACCTGAAAACTTAATCGGTGCAGTCAGTTCATCCGGCCTTCCAATATTTCTGTGGGAGCCCCTCAGACCCCCCCATACCAGCGGTGCACTGTCAGTAGGATCCCATTCAACGGGCTTGTTTGTCAGACATGGTCATTTTTCTAAAGGAAAACTGCTAAGTAAAAAGGTCCTCACAATCTAACAGTGAATATTAGACACTGAATTTTTTTTTTTATGTAAGAGGAAAAATGTAAATGGAAAAATCAGAGCTTAAAATAAAACTCAAGATTTGTACTTTTTTATGTTGTGTAATTTTCTTTTTTTTCTCGAATTGATATTATAAAACTGGTATTGAAAAAAGTATCGTTCAGGAACCGGTATCGAAGTGAAGGTATCGGTATTGGTACCGGAACCGAAAATTTTTGAACAATACCCAGCCCTAGTTACAATCAAGGTTCAGTTCAGTTCAGTAGATTCTATTTGTCCCAGTATGGGCAATTTTTGTGCAGTAGTAGTAGTACACCTTTCACACACACATTCACATTTCACAAGTAAAAAGGTAAGAGGAATACCATCTCTGCACAATAAATCTTGAAACAGATGGGCTTTACAAGACAAGCATTACAAGGCAGCATGGGAGCATCTCCTGTCAGCTTGGAACAGGAAGCTGAATCTACAATTTCCACATACTCACCATAATTGGCCATAAATATTAGTCTCCTTATAAAGTCTCAGTTTCAGCTGTATTATTCAGATGCCATGGTAAGAACTTGGCATAAAAAACATAAATTATGGATTTACCATCACCTTATATGAACATTTAAAGCTGCGGCTGATGTTGGAGTATGAAAGAGATTTTCAATGTAAACCATTTATTTGTAACTGTAATTATTACAGCACTACAGACAACCTGTTAGTTTGCTCACCATGTCCACTTTGAATGCCCAACCTGGTAAAATGGCTGATGAGTGCATTTTAACTGCCCTACTTTCATAGTTATGTGTTTGGCTAGTCCAGTAGACTCTCACCATCCAGCTAAGATATGATTCAGATCATTGTGTTTAAGATGATAAAACCTACAAAGAGACACAGGAAAGTCATAATGACAGTAAATAAATAGTGAATTGTTTACAACTCATACTTAAGATTTAATCGTGACACTTGCTGTATCCACATTTCCCTCAAACCATTTAACCCTATATATTTCTATAATACTGTATTATTTGGGTATTCAAAGATTAGTTTAGTCATTTTGTTTAATAAATTACAATATTGTTCTAAGTAATGACATTAAAATGCATATCAATGTGAGCTGAAATAAATGAGCCAGTTTATCTGTCCTATTTTATTTGTTACCTGCTAACTCTAGTAACCTGTTTTGTATAAAAGCTTTTCATAGAGTGATGGGTAATGTTCCTTTGGTGTCTGAGGCTAGACTATCTTTGTTTTTTAATGAAATGCTTTTTATTAATTTAATGTTGTCAGATGTTATCTAAAATTGCTTAAAGCAAGACTTATAGTTACTTTTAAGTGTCAAGAAGAAAAATAAATCATGCAAAAAATACAGATGCTATTTCATGTATTCAGTCAGTTACACCTGAAAAATGTAAAAAAATATACCACCAGCTACATTGATGCTGATGACTGCAAGTTGCTGATATTTTTGTCTTCAGCACATGTTATATCAATCACGGCATCAATGTCTGCACCTTGTCTCTCATCTGCTTCACTGGGCACTGGATTGATCCGGATTTCACTCCAACACAAGTCGTTATACAAGCAAAGATGTTTGCCCTCTGCACTTGAAAACCAGCCGAGCTCCATCAGTTATTTTGCTTTTTTGTTTAGATTCAAGCTTCCTACTGAATATGAGGAAAAAAGTTGCAAACACCCAAAAAAGGGTTGTAAATCATGGCTCTTATTTCACAAGAATATGATCAAATAGTCTATGTGTTTAAGTCATTCAGTCTTA